TTGCAGAAACGTTGTTGTTCTGTTGGGCTTGTTTTTATAAATTATTTGGTGAAAATATAATCGTCCAGCCCACATAAGGATAACAAGTTAAATTATTTCCTCCTTAACGTTTCTACATGTTGTATATTATTGTAATTTGTAAGCCTAGGTCACTTTATAGATGATGTTAAACGGAAATAACTCGCTGATGGTACTAAATAAAAAAAAGCTTGTAAATTTCAGGATTGATTGGTTAATCAATCGAGTAACTGAATATAGGTTATAAAAAAAGCATTCGTACAAATACATCATAAAAACTAAATGCCTCACTTAATGATTGGCACTAGCCACACTACCAACTGAAAAAATAAACATGCGTACTGACTTGCTGCTGCTTCAACTGACTAGACCACTTACATTTATGTCTGATGTCTCACCTATAGATATTCATCTAAATTAGATTTTCGTGACGACATCTAGAGTATTGTAAAATCTGTGTTGGCTGGGTTCTTTGTATTATCTGACGAAAATAATTCAGATTCCAGTCTACTTAACGATACCGAATTAGTTTATTTCCTGACTAATAGTATAGTATCATCAATCCCTAATTTACTTTACTTATCTAAGTATATTAATGATTGATGATACTATACTTTTAGTTAATAAAAATGTTTGTAGCACTATTTTCAGATTTTGCTAAAGATGTAGTGTATTTGCTAAAGAAAAAGTGTATTTCGAAATGTTCGCACTGCTACGTATCTGCTTGTTTGTTAAATTCTGGTATAAATTCTTTCCGAGGAACTTCAGCGATACCAGTCCCTTCTTGATTAAACCAGTTTATTCTTTCTTGATACAAACTTTTAGTACACAGTAATTTCTCAGTCAGTACGTTTCTCGTCACTTTAAGCTTAACAACTTTTATGACACGCTATAAATCACAGCGATTCACAATCTCGATAATTTTGCTCTCTACGAGTGCAAAACACACACTAGCCCGAAACTCACCGTGACTACTGTTCGCTTTATTGCATATTCATCCCCGGCTTTTCTCAGCCCGGCTTATATACTAACAAAGAGGCGTCTCTCGATCACACTCGAGCTTCCCCGATAATTCGAGAAACTCAGTCACGCATGCTCCAGCGTCACGTGACTTCCGCTGTCGTAACAGAACCTTGTAATTAAAATAGCTTATTTCCTTCTTAACTTTTCTTTATGTACACTTCCTAACTTGTTTCTAGGTCTAAGTAACTTTAGAAATGACGCTCCAACGGAAGTACCTCGACGAACGTAAAAAATAAACTTACTTTTACAATTTCTTGGCTGATCTATCACCCCTACTTATAATAGTATCCTTGTTCTAGATATTCTACAAAGCTTCTCGTTCTTTAATATTCCGGAATATTTTAATGCAGTGTTGTTTATTATAATAAGTTTTATGTTTTTTCTGCTTAAAATGTTCATTCTTGACTTAAGATATTTATAACAAAGTTTTAATGAAATACAACTAACCTGAAATTTACATAAATTCAGGGATATATAAATTGCAGTTAATTAAATATATCTGTGAGATCAGTGTACAATAAGTTTTGGCTGATATATATAAAAGTTTTGTAGTTTACTAATCTGAGAAAACTATTTAACAAAAAATAAGCGTTATCTGAAGGCTGATTGACACCTTATGCATGGAATGGACAAATGATTCAGGCACAGTCATTCCCGATTTTGAACTGCTGACCAGAGGGACGCCATCCTCTCGGTAGCATTAGCTTCTAACTGAATAGTAGGATTAATCGTAATTCTGATAACTCACTCACAGCTGAAAGTGGAAACATATTCAGACTTGCATGCAGAATGTTTGAAAGGGAGAGGGTATAATTTGTGAGATCAAAAGCCAACACATATTGTGTGAAGCACAATCAGCATGGTAATGCTACCTGAGTCTGGGGACATGCCCCCCCCCCCATAAAAATGTAAAAATGCGTGCTATATAAGATTAAATCTACAAGCAATTTTGGTTGAAATATAGCTTAAACAATTGCATGGCTGCTCACATAAAATCCACAAACATCCAATGAAAAGCCAACAAATCATCATTCTGCTGTAACACTGCATGGGAACTAGAATTAAATTAGCATAAATATGTATGATACTTATTAATTGTTAAATTATATTACTAATTTAAACAACTTGGTACAACAATAGTATATATTAACTATTTCAATGGATGGGTATTATATTGTTACGACATCGGGGTCACGTGACGCTAGTAACACGTCATTGACTTCTAGAAATATCCTGTTCCTTCATGAATGCTCTAGCGTTTACTAGATATGTGTTAGTCTTGTATATATAAGACGTGACGGAACAGTGTGTGTAATTGAACTGAGTATTGTTGAGTCGAGCACGAGCACGTGAGACGTTCGTTGAGAATTATAGCGTTTGTTATAGAGCGA